CCCGCTCCGATCCCGGCGCTGCGGGCGGACACTGCGGTGGGGACAGGGGCTGGGGGCACCCCGCGACGGCACCGAGGGGACAACCAGGACCCCACCGAGGGGACAGAAGCAAGCGGCACCGCCGCTGTCGCCGTGCCCGGGGACGTGGTGCCACCTCGTGGCCCGGGGACCGGGGCCGCATCCCCGCTGCCTTGGGATGCTCAGGGCACAACAGCCGCAGGGTGGCCGGAAAATCACTGCCTTTGCCCCCCGGTCACGGAGACGGTTATTGGAGGGAAGGTGAGAAATCAATTAAAAATTGATTAATTTAAAACAATCAAAGCAGGTGGGTGGAAGAGAGAGGGGGTGTTCAGCAGCCCCAGGGCCGCTGGAAGGGACCCGCTGGGGTTGCTCCTTGCGGCAGAGCCCATCACCGCAGGTGTCCCCACGGGGCTGCCACGGGCCTGGGAAACGCTCCCTGGGGCTGCTCGGCCGCAGGAGACATCCCCGGGCCGGGACAGGGCCGGGCACTAAAGCCCTTTTGTTTTCCCCACCCAGTGACCCCGCGGAGGAACAGGAGGATTGTCTTTCAAACGGAGCCGATGTGGAGCTTGAATGTCCCTTGCCACCTTGGCTATAAATCATCCTGCATGTGATAAGGTAATTACCTTCTCCTTGGAACTATTCATAGGAAAACCTATAAAGGGCCTGGCTTGTAAACACAACAATAAAGAGGCAGTACAATAAAACCTTGGCCGGGGTGGGGAAGGTGCTGCCTTTCCCGGCCTCGAGCACCTCGTGCCCCAGCCAGCCCTGTGGCTCTCATGGGCAGCGAGGGCTGCTACAGGGCACACACAGGGGCCCTTCGTCCCCAGAGAGTCAGCAAAGCCCTGTTTGGGAATAACAGCAGCTCCTACCTGCTTATGGGGTGCATAAAAAGAGATTTCTCCATCCAGAGAACAGCCTGACACTGGATGGGGCTGCTGGAGCACACCCAGCTCAGGTACACCCTGCTCCCAAGTCCCACAGCTGCCTCAGCACCAGCACTCCAGCTGCTACAGGATGGAGGAAGCTCTAGAGATGTCAGCAACTTTGGGAAAGAAATCCAGGCAAAGTTTTGCTTTCAGTGGCTCTGGGACAGATTTCTCCCAAAGGCAGTGGAGAAACACAGGCTTGGTTCAGGTGTGGCAGCTCAAAGATGGGATCAGCTACAGCAGCAGCAGCCAGAGAGGAAAGGAGCAAGTGAAGCTGAAGTGCTAATGTGTCACCTGAAGCAGAGCCAGGACAGGGCCCAGCAGGGATGCTCAGCTCTTCCTCCATGCCAGGGTTTCCCAGCCTGACCACACACATGGGGCTGGTACAGCAGGAGAACTGGCCCCATCCATCCCCTGAAAAAGGCTCCATGACTCCAGGAAGTTTTGGATACTCTCAGCACTTGAGGCCCGCTGAAGCGGCAAGGGTGAAAGAACAAAGCAGATGAATTTTGTATCCCCCAGAGGTTTTACAACAGGCAGGGCTTGCCCTGAGCTCTGTTCAAACATCCAGCCCGGGGTTAGGACAGAAGGCACTTAACTCTGAGAGCCCCAGAGCCCGGCTCATTCCTGGACGTGCTGATTTACCCCCAGCAACATCAGAGAGCTCAGTGCTCCCCTGGCTATCAGCAGAGTAAGCACTGAGCAAACACAGAGTAAGTAACACCAGAGGGGAGGAATGGAAGGGGACAGAACTCCAGAACCAGAAACAAATCCATGTGCTGTTAGAACATCCCTGCACCTCCCACAGATGTGCTTGGAGAGCCAAAATTCCAGCCTTGGAGAAGCTACTTTGAACTTTCTGGCTTATGCAGCACAGTACCATCCATCTGGAAATGAGGAATTTTGGTTTTTTTGGAAGACAGGATGAGTGGAGGCAGCAGGGAGGCACAGACCAGGTGTACAACACCGGGAACACACACAGGTAAAGGCAAAGGGTGTTTGCTCTAAGCTATTCTTCAAATATTGGCGTATTTGGGTTTATTGCAGGAACACAAGAGTGACAACATTTGCAGTGCTCTGAAAAACAAAATTCTTCCAACCCCCTGCTTTACAAACACGATTCTGGATCCTGCAGCAATAGGAACAAAATGCTTTTAGATAAGCTGAGGGAACAGGCAGCTTTATAAAACACACAGAGGAGGAAAAGGCGTTTGTTTTCCAAGTGGCGACGCTGTGACAGCAAAGTGCACAAACCAGCCCCAGGGAGGGCAACAGCAGAGTTCACCAAACACAACCTCAAAAAATAATAATATAAAAATTAAGTCCTAGAGGCATTATTAATTAAGTCTGAAATAAAGTATTTAGTATCAGCAGCAGGAAACTTTTCTTCCAGATGTCCTGTGCAAGGGAACACAGTCTGGTGCTCCCTGTGGAAGTTTTGGTCACTGAAATGGGCGTTTCCTTCAAGCTTCTGTCAGCTCCGTGGCATTGGTGTGGTTTGTCAGGACATCCTCCAGGTACAGGGACACTCTCACCCTCGCCTTGCCCTGCAGCTCCCTCTCTATCCCACTGAGATGGTCGATGGCTCCCTGCAATCCTCTCTCCCTCTCCCGCAGGTCCGTGTGCACTCCTGCCTCGTTCTCCTCCCCCGAGGACCTCAGGTACTGCAGGACATAGGGTTTGATGGCATCCCCGTGGTCCCTGAGGCTGCCCCCGATGAGGGGCAGGTCTGTGCTCCTTGCCAGCTGCAGCAGGTGCAGCAGAGCCCGGCAGATCTGGGTCCTGAGGCTGGAGCTGTACTTGAACTCCAGGAAGTCCTCGGTGTCCTCACTCCTCTGCAGGGCCACCACCAAGGCACTCCAGATTTGGCAGAACTGCTCCGTGGAGCCGTAGCATTCCCTCCTGCTGGGGATGGACAGGGCCATGGCTGACTTGATTCGCACTTTGAAGTTCTTGCAGGACTTGACTACAGAGGAAAGGGCACTGAAAGCTTGTGTGGCCCAAGGAGCCTCTCCTGAAAGGAAAAAAAAACAACAAAAAAAACCAAAACTTTTTTGATCAGCTAAAATATGCAAAACTAAAAATGTTTCCTGAATATTTCATGGGCTGACATTGATTGAATTTATTGTGGTTTAAGTGAGAGAATCAGGGGTTATGAACTCAAATAGTAGTTAAAACAGTTAATCTCCTGAAGTTTTACAAGAGGACACTTGGCACTTATTCACACCTATAATCCCACCCTCACACTCTTTCCTTGCATCCAGCTGCACTGGCACTGGAAGGAGTCTGTTCCACTGGGAAGAGCCCTGGGACAGCAAGACTCAGCTTCATTGGCTTCCCCCCATCTTCTCCACCCCACTGGCACCAGAGGTGATCTGATGAGCCCCACAAGTGCCGAGGCAGCCCCGAGGCAGGGGAGCAGGCTCTCACCGAGAGGCAGGGCAGGGTTCTTGAACACGTTCCCCAGCGCGTAGCACGCGTTCCAGCGCACCTTCATGGTGGCCTCGCTGCCCACCGTGGCAATCAGGGCCTGCAGGGACTCCTTGATGGCCTCCCTGAACCTGGGGTTGGCCACGTGGCAGGGCTGCAGGAAATGGAGCACATTCCCAAGGGCACGGACAGCGTTGCTCTTCACCTGGAACACACAGAAACCTCTCAAGTTTTCGGGCTGTTGGCAGGTTTGATTTCAAGCCTGCTGAGAAATCATCTCAGAGCCAGCAAGGAGCACAGCTGGGATCACACTGTGTCTTCCTGAATGCCACCAGAAAGATCATTCTCTGCAAGTGACCACAAACCAAACCAAAACCCCTGCACTGTGGAAAAGCCCAAATTCCCTGCAACTCAAACACCATAGGAAACCTCTGAGCACCAGCCCTCAGGGAAGGATATGAGCTGCAGCTCCCCTCAAACGTTGGGGCAAAAAGACCTAAAGTAACTGGTGCCCTTTTCTTTTTTTAATGCAGGAGTTAACTGCACCAACTCCACCCTCCTTCCCCTCAGCCTTACCTTGTCTCTGTCCTTGGATGCTTCCGTTGCAGACCGTAGCAATTTCAGCAGCAGGAGATCAGAAAGTTCCTCCTGGAAGCTTTGTCCCAGGGTTTCCCTGGCAGGAGAATCATCCTGTGAACACCCAGCTCGTCTGCTCCATCCCCAAAGATGTGATACCACCCCTTATAAAGGCCCATGAACAAACAACCTTCACTCTTTAGAAGGCTAATATGTAAGGCAGACCTTTCTGCATGTGACCACTATGTTTATTAATTTAAAACCAAACTATCAATGCAAGAAAGCTGGTTAGCAATGGTTAAGTCTGTAATAAAAAACAGAGGGCAAGGAATTGTCCAGTGGTAATTCTGTGGCAGGAATATATGATAACTATTTTCCTGTTAAAAATGTAACAGTAGGTTGGGCTTCCCTCAGTCTCTGGCTTGAGGAAGGGTTAAATATTTATTAATTTTACTTCTGTGTTATGTTGAAAGTAAAGGAACCATGTCATTACACCAAGCAACACACAAGAAATGGAAAAGTGAAAAGTTTTAAAGAGTCTCTCCTTAGAGTGACAGGACAAGAGGGAATAGCTTCAAACTGAGTGGGCTTAGATGAGGTATTAGAAAAAGCCCTGTGAGGGTGCCCAGAGCAGCTGTGGCTGCCCCATCCCTGGAAGTGTCCAGGGCCAGGGTGGACAGGGCTTGGAGCACCCTGGGACAGTGGAAGGTGTTCCCAGATGGATACAGGATGCTTAAACAGTGTCACACACTGGCAGAAACACAGGCAGAGGGTGGTTAAAAAGAAGGATCCAAGCCAAATTTCAGCTTTTTTTGATGTTAAGTATCACAGAATCATTTTGGTTGAAAAAACCCTTCCAGAGCATCAAGTCCCAGCTGCGCCTGATCCCCATCTTGTCCCCAGCCCAGAGCTCTGAGTGCCACACCCAGGCCTTCCTTGGACACCTGCAGGGATGGGCACTCCCAGCCTCCCTGGGCAGGCCCTGCCAATGCCTGACCGCCCTTTCCATGGAGAAATTCCTCCTCATGTCCAACCTGGAGCTCTCCTGGCACAGCCTGAGGCCATGTCCTCTGGTCTGTGTGACACTTGGGGACAGGGGCAGGGTGTGCCACGTACATGTTGATGATCAGGGTGTCTGTGAGGTTGCCCAGGGACCAGGCTGCCTTGGCACGGACGTTGGGAGACTTGTCATGGAGGGAGTTCAGAATGGCATTTGCTGTGTCTGCCACAAACATCACATCCTGTCAAAGCAAAAACTGCTGCAAAGTTACAAAGTTCTCAAAACACAGGTGATTTCCTGAGTAACACACTCTGTTTGTTCCAGGAAGAATGAGGCACCAGCTCTGATCATTTACTTTTCTAGGTGACACCTTTTAATGAGCTCATGGTGCTCTCTGCAGCTTTGCCTGACCTTTAATTAACAGTCCAAGCCTGAATGCTGACCAAGCCCACCACCCTTGGGTAGCTGTTACTGAAAAGCTTCAACAGATGATTTAATTCTATCAGTGATTTAGTTACTTTGGATTTTAACATAATTACATGGACTGCCAACCTTATACTCATCAAATCCCACTCTTAAAGTAATTGCTTTTCCAAACTCCCTGTTGAGCTGCCTGTCTAATCTTCTCTTCTATGGCACATTACATGTGTCTATGGTAAAGGATTTTCTTTCAAAGTATTTTGGAATTAAACTCCAAAGTCAGCTACTGCATTTTTTTTTTTATTTTATTAAAATCATTCACTTAAAGGTTACATTGTAAAAACTAATCTTCCAGCTCATCCAAGCTAAGATGATATTTGTAGAAAAAAACAGGTTTTTTTTTCTCCAAATAAGCTTTATTTCTTAGTTTCAAGAAAAACTGAAGGCTTCACATTAAAAGCCTGTTACAATCATAGAATCCTGAAGGTTGGAAAAGACCTCAAAGATCAAGTCCAACATTAAACTCCCCAGAGCACAGTACAGCTGTTCCCTTCATCCCAGCTCCCCTTAACCTCTTGCAGCTCCTCTGTGCCAACCTAACCACTCCAGATTCCGTCCCTGAGAGCCTGGGAAGATCCTGACCTCTCTCCTTTTCCTCTCACTTCTGCTTCACCTTCCTTAAAGCTGCACTGATTCTGCTCTCACACAAAAGGCAAGAGCGGGTCTGGAGCCAGTGAGGAAAACTATAAATACACTACCGGCCAAAAGTCAAGTGAATTAATTTCAAACAAATCTATGTTCCACATTCTTATGGTTCATTACCAAATGGCTCAGAAAAAGGGACTGGGCTGGTTCTGACCTGCCTGAGGCATGGGAAGAGGATGTAGACTCCCAGGGCACGAGCAGCAGCAGCTTTCACCAGGGGGTTCTCGCTGTGGTTCAGGCCAAGCAGCAACGTGACACACAGGATCTGCTGGTCAGCCTGCAATGAGGAGCAGCAGTGGCAACAGGGGGCTGAGGAGAGCTCTGTCCCACAGGGACACACAAATTCCCTAAAAGAGCCTCTATCTGAAGGAGCTTCCACTCAGAGCATGCTCTAGATAAAAAGAATTGAGCCCACCCAGGGAACAGGAATGCTTCCAGCACACAGGATCTCACTGCTGTTGGGTTAAGACCACAAAGAAAATCAAAGTATTAACTCTCACCCAAAGCAGAAGGAATGGCCCATCAGAGCTAACAGAGGATGGGTTGCTCTTGCCCTCCTTCCCTCTCTGCCCCTCATTAAGCAGGATGGGCAGGCGGGGTGAGCTCAGCCTGGGCAGGTTGTCAGTTCACCAGCCCATGACAAAAAGGTCAGAGTGGGCACTGACTTGACCCCACTTGGCCACAGGGACAGGAGAGGGGATGGGATCAAAGTACAGGGGGATGAAGTACACGCTGTACTTGGAGAATTCCAGAGATACTGCTGGACCAGCAATTCCTGGGCAAATGAGATCT